AAGATCTCCACCATGAAGCGCTACCACATCGCCAAGGTCTACAGGAGGGACAGCCCGGCCACGAGCCGTGGCCGCTACAGGGAGTTCTACCAGTGCGTGAGTGTTGCAGCTACCACGCGAGAGACGCCGGGCTCGTTCCAGCCAGGAACGCGGGGAGAGGGAGCTGGAAATGGCGGGAGGGCTGGTGATTTCTGCCAGTTCTGTGGTTTGTGCCCGCTTGAGCTCTGCAGCTGCACCACACAGTGGTCCTCATGTTGTGGATGATGGAAGATGGTCTGAATTTCAGAAGCCTATGCCAGGAATTTCTCTGTTTTCCCTTGTACCCCAGGACTTTGACATTGCTGGCCACTTTGACCCAATGATTCCTGATGCTGAATGCCTGAAAATAGTGCATGAGATCCTGAGTGAATTGAAGCTTGGAGACTTTCTCATTAAGGTGGGACAAGAGCCACGGGGCTTTCATGTGTGTCTTCCCTCCCATCCCCTTTTCCAGCATGCGGCTGGTCTCGGAAACCACTGGAAAGGTGTAAAGAAATTCCAAGAGCTTTATCTTCCAGCACCTCCTGGGCAGGGGCAGGGAGAAGCTGCCATGAGGTGATCACTGCTAGAGTGACCAGCTTCCTTGCTCCACCTAGGTCAACGACCGACGCATTTTGCATGCCGTGTTTGCCAGCTGTGGCGTCCCCGAGAGCAAGTTCCTATCCACGTGCTCTTCTGTGGACAAGCTGGACAAGGTAAGGGGGCTCTGGGGGCTCGCCTACCTGCCTCCAGGGCTGCATGGGATAGTAGCAAGGCCCTGGAAGCAGCCCTCAAGTTGCAAAATGAATATGCTACTCTTTGGGTAGGTCATTTCACCCGCAGTTTTAGGGTTTGGGTGTCCAGGCTGGGCAGGAGAAAGAAAAATGTCCTTCTGAAGTATCACAGCACTTAACTCATTAATGTTCATAAGAGATTCTGAGCACTCTAGGGCTGGGAGCAGCGGCCAAGAATCACTCCTGGCGTTGCCTGGGATTTCTGTGCAGGATTCCCGTGACACGGATGCAGATCACTGGTGAAAGTGCTGGCTCTGAAGCATCTGCTCTCCTTCCACATGTGCCCGGACTCCATGGCCTGGTGGAGACCACGGAGGAGGGTGGCCTGCAGTGATGGGTGTCCCTGTCTCTCCCACAGATGCCGTGGGAGGACGTGAGGAGCGAGATGGTGGGGGAGAAGGGGCTCTCTCCTGAGGCTGCGGATCGCATTGGGGAATACGTGCGGCTCCATGGTGAGCACTCGGGGCTGGATCCCTTCTCCCGCAAAGCCGCCCCGCAGCCTGCTCCGTCACTGTCGCTGTCTGTGCCGGCCTCTGTCCCTGAGCAGCCCAGGAGGGGAGGGAGGCTGCGAAGGAGCCCGTGGGGCTGGCGGGGCCTTCAGCAGAGCCCGCGTGTGCCCTGTGCCCGCAGGTGGCCTGGACCTCATCGAGCAGCTCCTGCAGGACCCAACGCTGTCTCAGAACAAGCTGGCCAAGGAGGGGCTGGGGGACATGAAGCTGCTCTTCGAGTACCTGACGCTGTTTGGCATCACGAGGCAGGTGAGGCTGGAGGCAGGAGGGAGCCCTGGGCTCTCCGGCTGCAGCCGCTGATGAGATTCTGTGTCCTGCAGATCTGCTTTGACCTGAGCCTGGCGCGCGGCCTGGACTATTACACAGGGGTGATCTTTGAGGCCGTGCTGGTGCAGCAGGAGAATGAGCACGTGGAGGAGCCGGTCAGCGTTGGGAGCGTGGCTGGAGGTGGCCGCTATGATGGCTTGGTGGGGATGTTTGATCCCAAGGGACGGAAAGTGCCCTGTGTGGGAGTCAGCATTGGGATCGAGCGCATCTTCTCCATCATGGAGCAAAGGGTGAAGGTAAGTGTGGCAGGCAGTGTTTTACATGAGAGCTCTTGGCAGCAGCCAGTGTTTGTTATATGTGATAGAAAACACCTCCATAGTGTCCAAGAAAGGGCCTTTGAGAGGAGGATATTAATCCAGATATCGCTATGAAGGACAGAGTCCTTTCCTCCTCCCTCCTGCAGCCTCCTACGTGGCCGTTGTTGGCATCTCAAGACAGACATTTTATTAGCAGACTGTCAAGAAGCCTCCGAGAGGGGCCCTGAGTTCTGATTCTGACTTTTGATTCCTTCACAGCTTGGCCCCAGTCACTTCACTCTTGTCTCTCCCGTGTGAAAAGAGAGACACTTCTGTCTCTCCCCTTTTCCCCTAGGGGTTGTGAAATTATAATTTCAGTAACAGCTGTGAAACTTGCTTTGTAATGAGTGCCAGAAAAAAGCCATGGGGAAAGTAATCACTTTGCATTTAGTTCTGAGCTCATGAATGATGGTAAATGAGGCCAAGGCGATGTGTTTGTACATGAAGAAGCAGAAGAAACGTTGGAAAGTTGTCCAAGTCCCATCTGGGAAGGAGGAGGGCCAAGGTCCCACAGAAACAGCAGCTCACAGTAGTCTGTCAGCATGCAAACTCACTGCGGGGCTCATTGAACTTCCCCAGGCTGTCTTAACTGGGGACCCTCTTGGCTTCTGAAAGGTTGCCTGTGCTTGGTGAGTTTCACTGTGCAATGATAACCTGCTTTTAAATGCACTTGAGTCAGTGAGGCAGCATGAGGTCTGAGATGAGGTGGGGTGGTGGCTGTGAGCCGCTGTGCAGAGCTGCGGGTTCCCCCAAAGCCGGTCACAGAATGGTTAAGGTTGGAAGGGACCTCTCGAGATCATCTAGTCCAACCCCTGTGGCTCCAGCAGGGACACCCAGAGCATGTGGCACAGGGCGGCATCCAGGTGGGTTTTGAAGACCTCCAGAGAAGGAGACTCCACAACCTCCCTGGGCAGCCTGTGCCAGGGCTCTGGCACTCTCACTGTCAAGAAGTTCCTCCTCACATGGAGATGGAACTTGCTGTCTTTCAATTTGTACCCGTTACCCCTTGTCCTGTCACTGGCCACCACTGAGATCTTGGGCCATTCCTCCCTACATTCTGCCTTCACGTACTTATACATGTTAACCAGATCCCACCTCCGCCTTCTCCAAGCTAAACAGGCCCAACTCGCTCAACGTCTCCCATGAGAGATGTATGAGAGTCACAAGTGTGTCTGTCCTTGCAGGCCTCTGGGGAGAAGGTTCGTACGACTGAGACGCAAGTGCTGGTGGCTACGCCGCACAAACACTTACTTGGAGCAAGACTGAAACTCATCTCTGAGCTGTGGGATGCAGGTATCAAGGTAAAGCAAAGAGGTTAGATTGACCCTGTTCCATTAACTGCAGTAACAGGACCAGGGGGTCACTCTCTCTAGCTGTCTGTTCAGATCTGGGCCTGGCAGATCCAGCAGACAGAGAGGGAAGGCAGTTGTGGGCGCCACAGGCAAACACTTGTTGCAGGAGTAATGAGGCAGTTTTCTGTAGGCTTCAGTGCTGGCTGTTTTGCTCTGTGATCTGTCAGAGCAAATTTTGCATTAGTGATTCAAACCACCTGCTCTGCTCCTTTGTAGGCAGAGATGCTCTACAAGAAGGACCCTAAACTGCTGAAACAGCTGCAGTACTGTGAGGACACAGGGATTCCCCTTGTAGCCATCATAGGAGAGCAAGAGTTGACAGATGGAGTTGTCAAACTGCGAGTTGTCACAACAAGAGAAGAGGTGAGAATAACCTTTTACACCAGGATTCAAAAGTGCTTCCAAAACTTAGGAATGGTCACCGAAAGACTCCAGCCTTTCCCTTGTACGTGGTGCTCCTTTTGATAGCGGCATCACCAATCTTTTCTGTATAGATCTGTCCAGAAAAGCCTCACCACAAAGTGCTTTGGGATCCCCAGCAAACCCTCGGGGCTGGATCAAAGCGTGCTCTGCTTAGCAGCCTTATGTAGTTTTGTCCCCTCACGAGGAGTGCAGCACTGAGCCCTTCACTGTCCCTCTTGGACAGCCTAACCCATACAGAAGGTTGGGATCCCCAGTAGTGGGTCCCGTTAGACCTTGGGAGCGGCCAAGAGGAGACGGTCTCCTGCTCGGCTGCACTGCTACCCGTTCCTTGCTGTTCCCTTTGCAGGTGGATATCCCCCGAGAGAAGCTGGCAGATGAAATCAGGAGGCGGCTGGAGCCCTGCAGCCCTTCCCCACAGTGCAGCAGGGCGCTGGGAGCTGCTGCTGGAAGCCCCTGAGCTGGGCTCCCCCCGGGGTCCCTCCGCCAGCCAGGGCGGCGCTGAGGCGGCACCGCTGCCCGGGGGCGGCGGGCACCGTGAAAAGGGCCGCTGGTTAACGGGGCCGGGGGCCGGGATGATGCGGGGCCCTGCGCTGGGCAGTGCAGGAAGCGCCGGCGGGTCCCGGGCTGCCAGGGCAGGGTTTGGCTCTTCCTTCCCGGATTGCTGCCCCAGAACGGTGCAGCGCAGCCCGCGGGCGCCATAGACCCACACGGCAGCAGCGCTGGGGCGCGTCCAGCCCTGCCCGGCGCCGGGATTGCGGGGGGCGGGAAGGGAGCAGCGCTGTGTACGTTATTTTGGTAGCAATGGCTGAATAAACGGACGGAGCCCTCGAGGCGGCCGCGGCC